ATTGATTAAAAATAAAAAATAATATTAAAATAAGAAAATACTGAGCAACCAGATAAAAAGGGATGATGACATTTCCAGATTCATAACAGATGGGGAAAAAAATTTGCTCAGTAATTGGTTCAAGAATTCATAACAGATTTGAAAGGAAATTACATCGTACAAATTCAATGAATTAAAACTTACTTTTTTTTCTTTTTAGAAAAGTAACTTTTAATCACGCTTAGAGGTGCACTAAATCAGTTGTCTGATATTGGGCCGTTAAGTTGATTAATCAAGTAATCACCACCATCAGATGCATCAAACATCATGTTTTGATGGAAAAACTGGAATTCTTGTAGCTCTTTCTGTCTTCGCAGCTCTAAAACCTTGCGGTGTGAATTGGAATGCTTCGTCAGTACAAATGTCGGGCTTGCTGCAGGCCTGTACTCTGGGACAAGACGGCCCGACTTGTACCTCACTCCACATGCATTGCATAGTGTCTTTGGCCCCATTGGACCGGTCCTCCATTGCAGCGTCTTGTCCGTCGTGCAATGGAGGCACTTTCGGCTCCCACTACAGTCCGCAGTAGCTGCATTGTTGGAAACTTCCTTTTTATTGGTTGGGAACTTCACCTTTACTTTGTCCGAGTTCAGGGACGATGACATTGCCGATGGTGTTGGGGACATGGCCGAAAGGCGGGATGCGACAACCAGATGACATTTCCAGATTTCCGTTTCACTTTCGATTCCCCTTTGGTGCGACAACCAAGCAGCCCTTCACATTTGTGCCAATCCCCTTTTTCATGAGCGGACTAAGCATCTTGACATCGATTGCCACGTTGTTCGTAATCAATTCAAGCTAGGTTTTGTTCTTCCCCGTCATGTTTCTACTACTGATCAGATTGCTGATATTTTCACCAAATCTTTGCCTGCTCCACGGTTTCGTTTCTTACTGTCCAAGCTGGCCTTGATGGACTTCCATCAATGTCCCGCTTGAGGGGTGGGGGATATAGAATTCTGTGCACTCAATGTTTACATTTTATATTCCTCAGGACCTCAGTTGCAATTATTCTATCTGTCCTTCGTTTTCTGTTTTGATAGTTTGGTACCTTGATAGGAAATTACTTTCATCTTTCCGTTATGTTTATTTTTAGCCGGTATATATACCTGATGTTGCTCTGTATTTCAGTGAGAGTTTTTAATTGAATAAAAGATTTCAATTCTCCTATTCTCGATTTCTTCATGGTATCAGAGCAAGAAGATATTGGAAATAGGATCTAATGCACACTGATTATTAGTGATTCAAATTGATTTCACTACCGGATGGCTGACGAATTCGAAGAAGGTACCAATTCACAGATAAATGGAGATCAGACAAATAGAGGTCGTCGCGAAGCTGATGAAGGAGATCCTCTTCATTTAGGTAACTTTGATCACCCAGGCATGTCTCTTGTCATTGTGCCTCTTACTGGAAAAAACTTTCTAGCTTGGAGTAGATCGGTTCGTATTGCACTTGGTGCTAAAATGAAGCTAAGGTTTATTGATGGAACTATTGAAGCTCCAATTAAGAATTCACCTCAATTTATAAAATGGAATAGAGTCAATTGTATGATAACTTAGTGGATCTTAAACTCTATTTCAAAAGACATTGTTGATGCTTTTTTGTATACCACTTCTGCTAAAGAGCTCTTGAATGAATTAAAAGAGAGATTCGGTGGTTGTAATGGTCCACAGTTGTACCAGATACAAAGGGAAATTTGTTCAATAACACAAGGTAATCAATCAGTATCTCAGTACTACACAAAATTGAAAGGACTGTGGGATGAATTAACATATCTTATGCCGTTACCCGAATGCACCTGTGGTTCAGCCAAAGTAGTATCAGATATCACTTCGTTTAATAGGCTGATGCGATTTCTGATGGGATTAAATGAGGAATATGAACAAGTTCGGAGCCAAATTTTAGTTATGGAGCCCTTACCTGTTGTCAACAAGGCCTATGCTATGATCCAAAGAATTGAGAAACAGAAGGAGGTGCATATTGCCTTTGGTAATGAAACTGAAATGAGTGCAATGTTTTCTAAGATGAACAATCTGAAGGAGGATCAGGGAGTTAGACCTGTGGGAGGGAAAAGTTATGAAATGGTAAAGAGGGAAAAACAATTACTATATTGTACCTATTGCAAGATAAATGGGCACAACAAGGATAGTTGCTTCAAACTTATACGATATCCAGATTGGTTCAAGCAATTAAAAAATAAAAATAGATCTGGCACTATGAAGTTTTCAGCAAACATGGCTGATACACCGCTTGGAACTAATCAGGAAGTGAGAGATAAGATGCAGAATTTTAATTTATCTGAGATGATACAACAGGAACTGGTAAAAATGATGAAAGCAAGCAATGGAAGTGACATGATTAATTTTGCACATTTCGGTGATTTTGCAGGTTCTGTTCTCAAACCTGAACCTATTCTTACTTTTCATGCTTCAAACTTGTTAGAAATAGGCTCTTGGATATTAGACACAGGGGCATCTAATCATATGTGTAGCAACCTAAATTTTTTCAAGCAACCCAAACCATGCATTTCAGCCATTCCTGTGTATCTTCCTGATGCATCCGTTAATTTTGTTCAAAACACTGGTGATATCCTTATTCATCCTACCATTACTTTGCAAGATGTTTTACATATCCCTACTTTCAAATTCAATTTGTTGTCTGTCAGCAAGTTGACAAAGAATTCGAACTTGAAACTCATTTTCTTTGACAACCATTGCCTTTTATAGGACCGTCTGACTGAAGAAATCCAGGCAGTTGGTAGACTATTCAGGAACCTTTATATTCTTGATCAAACATCGTTTTCTCCATCAATTCTGAATAAATTCAAAACTTCAGCTTGTAATTTTGTTTTCCCTTAGTGTAATAATTTTCCTGTGGCTTCTAATGTTGTAATTGACAGATCTTTGAATCTATGGCACAAGAGATTTGGCCATGTTTCTACTAATGCAATGAAACATTTAGAAATCTTGAAAATCTGTGATGATGATTGTCCTTCACACTGTGATATTTGTGCTATTTCTAAACAATCTCGATTACCCTTCCCAACTAGCACAATTCAGACCACATCAGTAGGGGAACTGATTTATATTGATTTATGGGGACCCTACAAGCAAGCATCTATTTTAAGGGCACATTATTTTTTTACTATTGTTGATGATCTAAGTAGAGCCACTTGGACATTCCTTCTTAAACATAAGACTCAAGTTTTACAAACCTTTAAAGCCTTTCATCAATTTCTTCGAACTCAATTCAACATCAATATCAAATGTGTAAGATCTGACAATGGCACTGAATTTGTCAATTCTTTTTTTCAACGATTTCTTGTTGATCATGGTATAATACATCAAAAAACTTGTGTGTACACCCCTCAACAAAATGGTGTTGTTGAGAGGAAGCATAGACATCTTTTACAAATTGCGAGAGCTCTCATGTTTCAAGCCAACTTGCTAAAATTTTTTTGGGGAGAATCTATTTTGATGGCTACCTACATTATCAATTGTCTCCCTACTCAGATCCTCGACTAGAAAACACCCTATCAGATTCTCCATAATAAAATGCCTTCATACCAGAACCTCAGAGTGTTTGGCAGCCTCTGCTATGCTACTAACACTCAACCTTTTAAAGATAAATTCTCCCCTAAACGCTTTAAGTGTATTATGATTGGTTATAGTCATGGTACAAAAGGATTTAAGGTTTATGATATTCAAAAAGGGTAAATATATGTTTCAAGAGATGTTGTTTTTCATGAGGGTATTTTTCCCTATAAGGGTGATTCTATTCCTGACCAGAATCAACCACTCCCAATTCTAATATTTGATCAAGACCAATCAGAACCTATACCTGCTGAAGCATCGACGTTTCTGCTACTTTGCCTCCTGCCACAGATAATATCCATGATAGTTCTTCCATTCTGACACATTGCCTGTAGATAATTCTGGCCAAATTCAACCTTGCATCAGGAGAAGAACCAGACAAAAATTTCCACCTATATGGATGCAAGATTTTGATAGTTCTTCCATTCTGACACATTGCCTGTAGATAATTCTGGCCAAATTCAACCTTGCATCATGAGAAGAACCAGACAAAAATATCCTCCTATATGGATGCAAGATTTTGTGTCAAATCTTAGTCACACTCCTCACATTCCCATCACTTCTTCCCAATCTTCTGGCTCCTCCTTCACCCCTAACACTTATCCTTATTATACTTCACCTTGTTTTAACCCTACATATGTTGATTATTTGGCTAACATCACTACTATCCAAGAGCCTATTTCATACAGGGATGCTAGCACAAAGAGAGAATGGTCTGATGCAATGAGGGCCGGACTTGATGCTTTGGAGAAAAATGAAACCTGGGAATTAACATCCTTGCCATCTGGTAAGAAACCAAAAGGTTGCAAGTGGGTTTTTAAAGCAAAATTAAAGGCTGATGGAACCTTAGATAGATGTAAGGCGAGGTTAGTTGCAAAAGGTTTTAATCAAATTCATGGTGTTGATTTTTTTGATAGTTTTTCCCCTGTTGCAAAACCAATGACTATCAAGTTGTTCATTGCTATTGCCACTGCCAAACTTTGGCCTATCTGTCAGCTTGATATTAATAATGCATTTTTGCATGGTGTGTTGAATGAGGAGGTATATATGTTACCACCCCAGGGATATAATCAGGCTGCTGCAGGCCAAGTTTGTAAGCTCAAAAAATCCCTCTATGGTCTGAAGCAAGCAAGCCGACAATGGAATTCTGAATTGTGCAAACATCTTATTGCTTTTGGTTTTCAACAGTCTCAGCATGATCATTGCCTCTTTACTATGCACACCTCTTCTTCCTTTACTGCACTCCTAGTATATGTTGATGACTTACTTCTTACTGGCAATGATGAATCAGAAATTAATCGCGTTAAGGCCTCTTTACACAAGACTTTTACTATCAAGGACTTGAATTATGCCAAATATTTTCTTGGCATTGAAATTGCTAGATCCACTGACGACACATATTTAAATCAGAGGAAGTGTGCCCTTGATATTATCACTGATGCTGGTCTTTTGGGTGCTAAGAGCACTTCTACGCCATTACCTAAAGGCCAGAAGTTCTTTGCATCTGACCAGGATCCTCTTCCAGATCCTGAGCCATTTAGAAGACTTATTGGATGCCTTCTTTATCTTACTCTTACCAGACCTGACATTACTTTTGGTGTTCAACAGTTAAGCCAATTTGTGCAGACTCCTTCCATCATTCATTGGAATTCAGCATTACATATTTTGCGTTACATTAAAGGTACTCTGTCGAAGGGCTTATTTTTTCCTGTTACTAATACATTTGTTCTGGAGGCTCTCAGTGATGCGAATTGGGCGAATTGCCCTGACACTCGCCGTTCCTTAACTGGTTACTATGTTTTCTTTGGAGGATCCTTAATATCCTGGAAAACCAAGAAACGGACTACAGTCTCCAGGAGTTCAGCTGAGGCAGAATACCAAAGTTTGGGTGCTACAGTCTGTGAATTACAGTGGATTTCTTATATTCTGCAAGATTTCCAGATTTCTGTTTCATTTCCGATTCCCCTTTGGTGCGACAACCAGGCAGCCCTTCACATTTGTGTCAATCCCCTTTTTCATGAGCGGACTAAGCA